TGCACTGGAACCAGAGGCAAGAGTGAACAGTCCGCCTGCTGCAGATAATGCTGCTATGGAGCAGATGAGACTGAACCAGGCTAAGCAGACATAAGATTCATGGCCCACTTTGTGTGAAGGCTACATCCAGCTCTAGAGACTCAGCCCCATCTGCCTACATAGCTCGCGCTGCACTCCGCGACTCTCGCCAGTTTCTTCCTGGAATTTGTGCAGGAGTTGATGGAAGTGGAGTGTCTAAACGATCAGCCCAGCCAGATGTGTTATCATCATAGGTCATGTGATTTCTCATGAGGGTAGGGTGAAGTGGTGGAGGGTCTGGTAGACCCTGGAGCATCTTCTCTCTGTGACTGCGTGAATAGCGACGCCTGAATGAGAAAAAGCAATGCGGGCAACAGTAAGTAGCAGTCAGATCTTTTGTAAGCAAAATGTTCTTCGTTATGATTTAATTAACGTGCAGTGAATGTCACAGTACAGATTTCAAATGTAACGTCAAAAATTAAACATGAAAAGAGAGAAATCACCTTGGGAGGCGTGTTTGCCTCACACAAAAGGGGGCCAACCACATCCATGCACATGCACCAGACTGTGCAGTGCCTAGACTTTGATTCAATTAGACCATCCTTCCCCCACCCTCACCCCTCCCCTTCACCATTTACACTTGCTGCTGACGCTGCTTGTGTGGGTGTGCATGAACATATGAGGTTCTGTGTGTGGCAGTCAAAGGGCTCGTTCCTCTCCCTGCTGAGCACATGAATGGGAGCAGTGTCAGAGATGGAGGTGCTCATGATTTCTGTGCTTGAAGAGAACTGTAGCCAAAGTCTTTTGCCAGGGGAGTATAGATTCTGTGACAACTTCCACAAGAGTGAGGTAACTAGCGCCCACATGCAGTTCCGGGCAACAAAAACCTAATTGCGTGTATTCTTTGGGAGTTTACAACAATAAGATAAGAGAATGATGAATTGGAGAAGATTCGGAGGATGAAGTTTCAGTTTCACCTGTTGATTAAGTGAATAGGGAGAAAACTACTTGTCATGGGTTCTGTTAATGTCAGAATTGTTGAAATGGCTTGAAAAGTTTGTGCAACATAAATGCATTTTTCATGAGTCTTTTTCATTTGATCAAGTGCTTTGTAATGACAGAAGCAGCATGACTCAGGATAGAAGAGCAGTGTGTATGTGATATTTCCAACAGTAATGATAAACTCAAAGGTACAAGGTGGAGGTAATGATAGTTTAGAATTGTTAGGTTTATGGCTAAAGCTTAAAAATGCACATAAAGCCTGCTAAGAGGAATACTTGTTTTCTGCACATTAATCCAAGTGATGAGGGAAAGGGTTCAGTTACAAATCATTTGATGAATTTTAATTTGAAATGTTGTATTTTTAGACATGGTGCCTTTTTGTTTTTTATGAAATGTATTTGTTTTGCTATGATAGATCAAATGTAGGCTTTTTGTTTTGGTCATGGCACACGTGCAGTAGGGAAAATGGACTTTGTCAAACAATCACATGTAAATGATAAAGGTAAATTTTCACAAATCAAGGCCACATTAAAAATTCAGCCATTTCCTCCTCATTTACAAAATGTGCAGTTAAATATATTGTGTTGTGGAAGACACAAACCTCAGTTTAATGATTTTAAGCCTGAACCATAATAAGATGTAGGCCAGGGTTGCATACCAAACTCTTGTTCTAGTTATTAGTTCACTGAAGTCAACTACCAAGGCTATAATACAGTTTGAACAGTTAAAGTCAACTGGACATATTTAATGCAAAATCAAAGGTGCATTTATTAAACTACACTGCTTCCTGGTAGTGTTATCATGACAGTGGAATTACTACTTAGATATGATACCTCAAAATATCTGTATTTAATACCACAGGGAAAAACGGACAACCGGATGAGGGCGTAAAATTGAGCATTTTATTTAAAAGCTAAGTATAACAAAGCTATCACATGACAGTGAGGTACAACTTTTCTTCTTCTAGTAGCAGAGAACAGCACAGTTGATGGTTTTTGTCATTGTTGTTCCACATTGAGAACTTTATTTACTAATTAATTTAAGTATTTTCCTGTCAACTGAATCTCTCCTGTCTGAGATTCCTCGGGGTTGATGGCTCTGAAGGGGATTAGCTTAGTTTTGAGAATCCTACTTTACGTTATACTGCATTATTTTGTTTAATGTGTCAAGCCGTCCCTGGTAGGCTAGTGGTTAAGGCGCAGCGCTCTTACCGCTGCGGCCCGGGTTCAAGTCAGGGTTGCGTCAAGAAGGGCATCCGGCGTAAAACACGTACCAAATGTCAACATGTGAGTCCTCGGTGTGACGATTTGCTCTGGCGACGCCTCAACGGGAAAAGCCGAAAGTGACTTTCTTCATTTTGTTTAATGTGTCACTGATGCTGAAGTGATAGCTGTCAGCAAGTCGGTCCTGATGTGTTTTGCTGAATTTATTGTGTTAGCTCCTATTCTTTATTGTGTTAGCAATGCTCTAAAGCAGAGCTGGGCATTTTACGGCCTGCGGGCCACATCCGGCCCTTGTGAGGTCCATCAAATCAGAACATGAATGAAAAAAGTTCACGGGTGAACTTAAGATCCCTGACCTACCAGGTGAGAGACAGGTGATGTTGGCCAGCTAACCCTCAAAATGTCAACTCACACCAGAAAAAGAAAAGTTGATGCCGAATACCGCGTTTTCAACAAGACATGGACTGGAAAGTATTTGTTTACAGAAGTCAAAGGTAAAGCTGTGCGCTTAGTTTGTGGTACACAGGTTGCTGTGTTCAAGGATTACAATTTGAATCGCCACTATGTGACCAAACATGAGGAGAAATACAAGAACTTGTCGGATGAAGAGCGCGCAAGAGAGTCGGATGCTTTGCTAGTGAAACTGCATAACCAACAAAGACTTTTTACAAAACTTTCCACACCCAGAGATGCAGCTTTCAAGACAAGTTATGCCATATCCCACAAAATCGCCAGAAAAAATAAGCCGTTTTCTATTGGAGAGTTTATTAAAGAGTGTTTGTTGGACTCTGCAGTACTAATATGCCCGGAGAAAAAGGGGCGCATACGAGAACGTCCCCTCTCCTGACGCACTGTAACGAGGAGGGTTGAGGACATCGCAGGAAATCTTTGGATCTACCTACATATGTGAACAGACATTCTCAGTGATGAAACTCAGCAAATCCAGATTTCAATGCACTTGTTCAAGCCCAAGCCAGACTGGATTTCTCTCACTGAACAAGTAAAATGAACTGAAAATGCATATCTTTAATATACTGCAAAACACCTTTTCAGTGTTGAATAAAAATTACATTTACAAGCTGAGAAAATTCGCAAATCTGGACTTTCAATCAAAACATTTTTGACAGTCTGGACATTTTTGTCCAGAAGGATCTTCTTTATTGAAAACATCTGTTTTAATATTGGATTCGAACAGTAAAAGGGTTTGTAATACATACCAGCTGACAAATGGATTTCGTGTACAAGTAAAGGTAAGACCATAAACTTTTATTATTTCTAGTTAGAAATAAGCTCAA